TGAGGCAGGAGATAACAGAACCCTCTCCTCGGGGCACCTCGGCCAATCAGAGAGCCTCACCGGTTGGACCTCAGGGTCGGGTCTGCAGCTCCTTCACCTGCCTGAGCTTCAAACAGGTTCTGTTCTCTGGACCGGGTCCATCGGACCACAACAGATGTGGATCCAGGCTGAAGCCTGTGAAGAACCGAACAGCAGGAGCAGAGAGAATAAAAACATGAAATAAATAATTAGTGAATCAGAATAAAGACGTAACATCAAAGAGCTTCCACTCATTATTTAAATTGGTTCTTTTTCTGAGAAAAACAAACTTGTTTTTCTGGTTTCATCACAGAATTAAATAATGAGGTTATTGTTCAGTTTGTTGAAGATGACTCTCAGCTACTACCACACCAAACTGTGCCTCACATCCCACAGCACACACGCTTGTTTAGATGTAAACAAATATACATTGTGAGTAAATATAAACAGGTTTAGAGCAGAACAACATTTGTTTCAGTTTCAGAGGAAAGTGAATTTAGGAGAAAATCATCGGTAAAGAAGCGTGGCTGAGTCCGCCGTGCTTCTGTTAATTAGCTGATTGGATTCTTTTTTCTCTGATTAATTGCTGAGTGAATAATGAGGATCCAAACAGGCAGCTGGGAGTCTGAACGCTCATTAAGATGAAGCAAACAACAAACATGACCTGTAATTACTTCAATCAGACACCCCGGGCCTCCAATCACAACCAAACACGACCAGTTTACAGAAAGACAGCTTCAGTTTGTCCAGAGACTCAAACCAACCAGAAATAATGAGTTTTAATTATTAATGTTTGTGTTGAAGGTAAACTGTCAGTTTATTTATCAAACTCTGAACATTATTATCTGAACTGACAAGTTCTCTGCTCTGGGCCCGTGTTTATCAAACTTCTTAGAGTGGATTTTTAGACTTAAGTGCTGAAAATTTCTTAGATTTGCTCCAACTCTCAGACTTAAGTGTAAGTACCTGTTATYAAAACTCTTAAGTCTAAGAATCAGTCTTACTCTGAAGAAAAGTTCAGACTGATCCAGAAGTGGTTCAGAGTTACCACCAGAGGTCTGAGATGAACTGAAGACAGAGATTACAGCTGTCCTCCTCCCCACCTGACTGTTAATCTCAGTTAGAAGATGTGGAAAACAGGTTTAATCTGAAATATACTAAAGAAACAAAGAAAAAAAAACCTGCACATTGTTGGACTAAAAGGCGGATATCTGTGTGTAGCTTTTGGAGAAATTATTAAATATACTCAGCTGGTGAGTGCATGCACCCCCCAAAAAAAAAGAAAGAAAGAAAGAAAGAAAGAAATTAAAATTACAGAAGGATTGAATGTTTCGTTCATTAGATTAACTCCAGCCCCCCTAAAACACTTCAGCCCCCCTGAAACAGGCCTCATGGCGCCACTGGCCCAGACAGAATAAAAGCCTCAGAGTTGACTTTTATATTTCCACCTAAACATCTTTATTCGTCTGAGTCGGCCATATTTGTTTACCTGAGCAGGTGTAGGTGGGTCATGTGGTTTTCAGCTGAAGGTTTGGTTCTGGTGGATCAGAAAGGAGGAGGGCTGCCACAGTGTCTTTGAGCAGGACACAGCTGGGAAACAGATGTTTACAGCTGGTTAACGAGACACAAACTCTTCTGACAGTCAGATCTTCCTGGTCTGAAACAAACGGTCCATTTTCTCAGCAGGATGTCCCTGACTGCTGCAGGCACTCAGGTGGGGGAGGAGCCATCTTTAATTGATGACTCGGCAGCACTGCTTCCTGTCGGTGGTCTTTGTCTGGAGAACAGTTCATGCAGAAAGTGGAACAATGAGCTTTGCTGCAAAGTCAAAACAAGCAGTGAGAGCAAGGTCACACCCACACAGTGAGGAGAGGCTGCAGCCGCAGAGCCAGCACCACCGGGGGGATGAATGATTTATCTGCACGCAGCGGCTAATGGCACTGTTCAGCTGCAGAGGAGGAGGAGGAGGAGGAGGAGGAGGAGG